CTCAATCAACCCTCTCGTGAAATTCATTAATAATTTCATCAAAACCAATGGCGTGGCTCCTACATGGCCCTTCAAATTTTCTACCATGTTGGAGCTACATTAGTTTTGACAACATTTCAAAGGGACTTTACAGTAGAGGACAAAGTGAGACTTCAAATATATATCAATTAAGGGGGCAAGGAGGAATAGTTTGACTTTCGTGAAGCAATATAAGCTTTTGATAATATTTTCATTGGGCACTACAATATTCAAGGCTAAATATGTTAATATTATGCAAATCTAAATAATCATGCGCAAAAGGTAACTGTTGAATGTTGATGCATTGTCGGACTACTTGCATAACCACCTACACTCATGAGTGATTGTCCTTAGCATTTCTTTTCATTCTAAATCTCCGAAGTTGAAATAGGATAAAGTCTTGATTAAGCACCTCTATTTTCTTCTTTTTTGCAATTGAATGGGTTGATTAATTATGCACTTTGAAATATGTTAAATAAGTATTATCGTTTTTGGCTGGAACCCAAGTTGACTAATAGACCCTCATCCAAAATCAATCATGCCCAACACCTAAAATTTAGACTCAAAAACTATGTTAGTGAGGGAGAAGATTGAGTTTTACTTTTTCAATGAAGTTTTAAACCACACGCCTTGTGTTGGTTGCTGACAACTTTAAGCATGTTGGTTGTTTGTAGCAGCTGGCTTATTTTATAAAGACAGACATAGCGACTTTTATACGAATCTTGCAGGCTTGCAGCCGCAATTTGTGCTTCACACTGCCAGGGCTAATAAGATCAAGGGAGTATTTTACTCACTATTTTAATTCCAGGCATATTCTTTTTTACTATTATTTTTAATATTTTACACGTATTTATAGGTATAATTATAATTTTATAAATACAAAGTAAAGAGTTAACTATAATTATGTCAACCAACAAATGTCAAGTGATGAAAATGGTAGTGAAAGTACACCTTATGTTAAAGTGACGAGCAAAAATAATTCCTAAATCAAATGAGTAATAATGTTTTGATTTCACCTTGAGTTTCGTTTGTTTTGCCTTGTTGTTTCCCATAAAAATATGTTGCTGAATTTAAATACTGATTACTCATGTGTTCGATTTATCAATTCTAAACTATTTTGGATAACATGTTTACTTATTACGAGTGAGGATTAGAACATATGGGTATTGAAATTATGTAAGCTTCACTATAACATTCATAATCCAATACACTCAAATCAGAAATTGGATCAATTAGGGGAATAGTTCCAATTCCTTAGTTCTCATATTTCTAGGTTGGTAATTCGTGACTTCTCTTATATTCCTAATAAGTAAATATACCCTAATTAAAAAAATAAAAGTAAAGAATATTTAAATTTGATATGTAAGAAGACGAACACATTACTTTGACCAACAACAGCGCTAACTCACACGTACCATTACTCATCATGCTTATAAAGAATTCTGTTTGCATTCATTATATTGTATGATATTTGTTTGGTGAGCTTTCGATTTTTAGGTACGTGGATTCGCATGGGTTGGTAACTTGGTGGGACAATTCTTTTTCCATTTGCTTTTTCATGTTGTGCACAGTCTTCGGGCAGCAATCATAATCAACCCATTGAAGGGACGTGGTGTTGGCTTTCTTGGTTTATAGTTTTGGCGTTCTTGTTGGGAACTTAATATCCAATTTCAGCTCTAACATTTTGTATTGTCCCACAGGACAACAATGTGTACTACCGAGCACATGTTATCATGTTCGTTAGTTGACAATTGAAGTGGCAAGAACAACGTGGCGGTAAACTGTAGGACGTTGTTTTTATTTAATTACTCGCTCGTTTGATAATCATTTTAATTTTCAGTTTTTATTTTAATTTTGTATGAAACTACAATTTATTTCAATCAAAACCAAAACCGTTGTAAAAGATCCTCAACCAAGTCATCTAGAACGAGCTCATGCGCCCACAAAGTTGTTTCAGCTAAAGAAAAACTAAAACCATTTTAAAATTAGAGACATTAATGACCGGTTATTTAGGTATAGTGTTGACTGTTGTGAGGTGCCAAAAGAGTTTCACAATTTTACAAGGCGTCCAGAGACAGTAATCGAACTTTAGTTCCTAATGGCACCCACAGCCCAACCCTCGTACTAATTGGACCAGTCCACTTTTTTGTCATACGAGCACAAGGTACCAAATCCCAAATCCAGGGAGATGTTACAATGAGGGGAATTTGGGTGGGGATCCGGATTCATTTGGGTAAGTGGGGTTGAATAAAGGGTTCAATCCAACCATTCAATTCCAATTTCAACAATTCGGTTTAGGGATTGAATTGAAATTGTTAAATGATAACTTCTTTGGCAAAAATTAAATTCGGGAATCTCAATCCCCAATTTCTTTGATTTTTCCGGCACGTTATTTATAGTGAAAACGAATTCCTGTTCAATTGGAATTTCGAAATGACAACTCTTTTGGCAAAAATTAAACTTGGGAATTTCGATCCCCAATTTCATCGATTTTTCCCCTTTCGTTATTTAATAAGTTCCGTGTTTAAATTGTTAAACAATGGAAATATCAATTTCTGACTTTTAGCTAAATCCCGAGTTATTTTTCCTTCATTCAAACATTAGATAAAGATATTTGGTTGTCTTTTTTTAGAGCGTTGAATTGAAGCCATGCATTTTCATCAATGCAAAAGGTATTTGATAGCAACATACCATTTCCACAATCCTTATCGCTAATAGCCAAAGGATGATCTAAAAAACCCTTGGAAGCATTTAATTTATGTATTTAATAGAAAAGGGGACTGATTATAAGGCGGCTTAGTGGAAAAATATCATACGAAGAAAAAATCAGCATGAAATGTAGCAATCAACACAAAGAATCTCCAACCACAACACAATTATAGAACTATAAAATTACCATTTAAAAAGAAATAATATTAATAATTAGCAGATGCCTTGTAATATTTAAAGTGTGATCATAGTTTGACCCTGTTGCTTCATCTTGATGATAAAATTTAATTTAGTAATAATAAATAATTATTTATGTTTAATTAATTAAAGGTGGTGGGGAAAATGATTACGAACCAAACATGGGGCCCTAACCCTAGGAAGGAATCAAGATGAATAAAGCTACCTAAAGAAGACAACTAAGAAGGCTGCTTTTTGCAAAAGTGATTGATTGCCAAAATTACTGCCCAACTTTCTTTTTGTTTTTTTTAAATTTATTTATAGATTTTTAAAGAAAATAAAAAAAATATTTACAACGGAAAGTTATCATGAATGTTAACAACATGTGCAACCCTTTGTTCCCTCCCATGTATGATTAAAGAGCTCATGGAATGAAATGACTGTGCTGTGCTCTGGTCATGGATATACTTTTTTTTTCCCCTTTTCCAGACCAAGTAAAAATAATAAAAAAACTTTTTCCCTTTTCTTTTTCTTTTTCTTTATTTATTTATTTATTTGTTTTTTGTTTTTTGTTTTTTAACGGTCTGTAATTCCACTATGGAGTTGCAGAGGAAAGGAACAAGACAGCGACGAAGAAAAAGGGTCCAACTCCTCCTTCGATGCACCGAACACTATAAAATTCGAATTGTTTGGTACCAAGATGTATGTTTTTTAACCTCGAAAACGCTGTCAGTTTATAAATGAAGAGGAAAATCCTGAAATTTTAGCTAGTACCTCGGCTGCCCCAAATCATGATGAATGTTACTAATGTGGCATTAACTTTTTCTACTTGAGCAGACTTAAGTTCGAAAAAAAGGATGATTAGTAGTACCACCGACGGGGTAGTCGAACGGAAAAAAAAATTTTGATTTACACATCAGTGGTCTTAAGTTATAATTCATATAATATTTTAGTAGTGTATTAGTGTGTGTGATAAACTTCATCTTCTCATGTGATTTAGATCGGTGTTTATATTATAAAAATATTATTAGTGATTGATATTGTATCGATATTACATGCTTCAACCTTTGTTACTCGGGCAAAGTTACGTTAAAAATGGGATGGCTGCTTCCTTTGATATGTTGTGGATCATGTTATCAATCAATGTTGGAGAAGAGACGACATTAATATTCTATCAATATTACATGCTAGATATTAGCTTAATTTGCACTAATTAAATAATAAAATCACAAATATATTTTCCTCTTCTATAGATAATCAAATGTGAAAAATAAAATAATAGAAATGGAAAATATTCAAGAAAAGAAGGTTTTATCAATCACAATTTCAAAGCAACCAAAACGTGATCTGACGCATTGATATTGTGATCGGATTCAAAACATGATTTCAGGCACCTAAAACTTGATTAGAAAAGCAACTATATATCAATAAGAGAAAGTAGGACTAATTAGATTGATTTGAGGCAAACAGCTTAAAAGGAAAACACCTCCAGACAAACTTCAATTTACTTTAAAAAAACAGTAAATCAATAAAACGGGATTGAATCAGACTTCAAAACAATTTGTTAATCCACAAATTTAATACACATGCATGATAATGGCTTGACTTTCCCTTAAATAAAATGTCGTTCATTTGTTAATCCACAAGTCTGGAAATCGGGATTGAGGGGCAACTATAAGGTCTAGAAAATACCAACATAAATTTCATACTAACAATATCTTAAGGGCAATGATTTCCCCACTCTATCTTAATTTTATCGTCCATTCATATTATAATACTTCCCGAACAATGTAACGCCCCTATTGTTCACGACTCTAATGCAATACCCAAGAGCGAAAGAACACTACATGACACGAAATATGAGAGGATTAGGCGGAGTGGAGCATGTGGAAAGGTTTGTTAACTTTTTCTTTTCAATCGATTTTTAGGGTTTTAAATTATACTTTTTAAACCCTTCAATTATTTTACTGCCAGGTTTAGTATAAATATTAAACTGATTAGATTATAAAACAACTCTTAATCAAACGTTCACCGACAAATAGGCTAAAACTGTCCTTTTAATAAGAAATAATAAAAAATGGAAAAGTGGAAATAAATTAATAAATAACATAGTTTTATTAAAATAGGCATACAACAACAGATAAACTCAAGGCTTAGAAATAAAAAATGACAAACAAAAAATAACAGGAAACAGAAGAGACCAAATTTACACAGATTTTACAGGCAAAAGAGTATAAAGAAAGAGTTTCTGTCCCATGTCGACACACATTCCAATTCCCCCAACATATCATATGTACTGTCACGACAAGCCATCATCTATCCATCCAGGACTCGACTTCAACTATTGTTTACAAACAATCCAAACAAAATTACCAAAACCCCCGTACACTAAAACAAATATGAATAAAAATACCCCCAGACTTTGTTTTTCTTCATTGCAAAACAAAAAAAAAATATCAACCAAAAGAAGAAAAAATAATTAACCCTGTATTTAAAAATTAAAGAAAAAAGAAAACAAAGAAGCCCCAGACTTGTTTATTCTGCAATGCTGCAATTGAATTGTCTTCTGTTTGATTGGAATTGCTGATCCAAGACAGGCATGAATAATTGAATTATTCAAGCTTTCTTTGTTCAATCGGAGCAAGGCTTGGTCTTGGACCTGTAGAGGAGCTTCTTTTTCTTGGAACTTTGGTTATCAATGGTGAGCACAACCTTGCCTGCCTCCCCAATCTTGTAGCTGTTTGAGATCACTGGCTCATCAGCTGGAGCAACCTTCCTGGTCTTCTGCAATATTATGGTGTACCCGTCCTCCGCGGACGGCACAAATTCGGCTCCATAGCTTACATCCCATCCCACCACTCTCACTTCCCAAACCAGAAGACCATTCTGCAAGCAAATTCAGCAAAACCCAATGAGAACTTAGAATTAAAAAAATACAATTAGAAAGCTCATATATTCTACCATTTAATTCCTTGAGCCCTGCATACCTCAGAGACTGGGATTTCAACTGTGTGCTTTGTGGCTGGCTTAACTGTGATCTCAGTGACAGGATCAGATGTGGTGAATTCATGCTCACCTTCCCTGCTTAGCCCACCATACTGAACTGGTACATGCTCAGGAGCAATATATCTGTTTCCCAAAATTCAGAAATTAAATTATACACATACCCCTTTTATTTATTTATTTTTATTTGTAAAATTTTGATGAATGAACAAAAGCTCTACAGCAGCAGAGCAGTGGTGCAGAAAAAAGGACATGAAAATGGATAATTAAATAGAAATTACAATACTTACTTGAAAAGGGTCTCAGCAGACTTGGAAGGACCAGCAAACACAAACTTGCTCTTGGTCCTCTGGGTGAGGAAGGGGCTGATCATCCTGTTGAAAGCAAGATACCACCATGGGACATTGATGAACACCTTCAAAAACCAAAACCCAGATATCATATTAAGCAATTAATAATAGAGAATATTATCGCTAATTAATCAGTCACTAATTCAGTAATTTAAGTACCTGTTTGGCTACAAACTCAGGGTAGTTATCCTGAAGCAATTGAAGGGCCTGGTTGGTGACCTGGTTGTGCTCCCACTTGAAGAAACCAGGGAAGTTCTTGAGATCATTGACCTGAACAATTGTAGAAATCCCGGTAGGGTTGAAGTCAAACTTTCTGATGCTCTTCTCCAAGAACTGGATCCTCCACTTGATGAACTTCGACCTCTTCTCTTCATCTGTGAAGGTGTTCTGGTAGAGCTCCTTGTTCTGAAACTGCCCAAAAACGTTGTAGCAGACAGAGTGGCCTTCCTTGTCAACTCCATGGGTGAAAACCACCTTGTCCCAATGGCTTCCAAGATCCTCCTCCAGAAGGGCGTCGATGCCAAACTCCTTCCTCCACCGCACGCTGTTCTTGATCATGGCGAACGCGTCCTTCACCTTGAAGTCCCTGGCTCTCAGGAACTTTAGCAGAACGACGTCGCTCCGCTCGTCACTGAGAAGCGGAATTCCCCAGATATGCACCTCCTCCGGCGGCGTCTGGTTTGGGCTCGGCTGCAGCCTCCTCTGCTGCAGAAGCAGAGGCAACTTCCACTATGGTCTCTTTGATGGCCTCTACGGTCTTTGCGCCGTCATCGTCAACAGTCTCCACAACCTCCTCTGTCACAACCACAGCCACAGTCCCTGTTGGCTTGTCTTCTTCTTCCACTTTGGGCTTGTCTTCTTCTTCTTTGGGCTTGTCTTCTTCTTTGGCTTCCTCTTTGGGCTTCTCTTCTTCTTTGGCTTCCTCTTTGAGCTTCTCTTCTTCTTTGGCTTCTTTGGCTGCTTCTGCTGTTTTTGGTTCTTCAGCAGCAGCAACCTCAGCTTTGGGTTCTTCTTCGGCCTTCTTCTCCTCAGGCGGTGCAGGCTTCTCTTCCTCCTTGGCCGGCGGCGGAGTGGGCGGAGCAGTGAACTCGTGCTTGTTGAGGGCCTCCTGGATGAGTTGCTTGAGCTCCTCAAGAGCCTTCTTCTGCGGCTCGGGAAGCTCACCAACAACATAGCTCTCCTCCTTGAAAGAAACCGACTGAGCGATGATTTTCTGATCCTCCTCAGCAGCCTTGGGGGCCTTCTCCTCAGCCACAGGCTTCTCGGCTACCGCCTCAGCCTCGGCCTCCGGAGGACCTTCTTTCTCGGGTACAGCCTTCTCGGCAGGCGGCGCATCAGCCACCACCACAACTTCCTCACTGTAAGTTGCTGGTGCTTCTGCAACAGCAGCAGCCTCGGGCTTCTGGTGCTCCTCAGCCATAAGAATTAATTATGTTTATCAAATCTTGAGAGAGAGAGAGAGAGAGAGAGAGAGAGAGAGAGAGAGGGGGGGGGGGGGTC